TTTCGGGTGTGGGTCCCTTTTTTCCTTATACCTTTTTGATTTTTTCACAGAGGTATTCAAGGGGTTCGAGTTTCTACGCACCGTGCTGTGGCCTATCCACCTATGTCTTTGCCCTCGACGAGCCCGACTCAATTGGGCCGCACGGTTCTGGGTTCCAAACTGTTCGTGTTAATTTTTTTATTTGTTAGATTCTTGGGAGTACATAGAAAACCAACCTGTCTGCCATATCTATCAATGGCTCGCCCATCCCACTCATGACGGGGTCTGTAACCATTGTGAGCGGATGATGGATGGGCTTCGATTGGACGATATTATTTCCGGCAACCGGGAGGGGTCCCTCACTGAAGATGAGATTGTCGAGTATGTTCAGAGTGGGGACCCTAACGATCGAGATTGGGACGACTGGCCATTACGCATGACTTTTCGCATCAATTCGTTTCTCCGAAGACAGGGTGATGTGGGTGAACCGGATTTGGCGGCCCTAGGCTTTTTAGACGATTAATTTTAGTTCATTTTTTCACAGGCACCCATTGCCTGTTACGTCATCATTTGCAATGGATTCCGAGAGTGTCCTCTTTAAACTCTCCTTTTTTTCGCATCCTGATTCGTCCACTTTCTACCTCTTTGTAGGCTTTCATTATACGTTAAAAGAATATGAAGATTGGGTACGACCCATTCAATTACGATGTCATTATAGCACGGTCAAATGTATAATCCAACTTCATGAAATATTTCAGATGTGATTGAGGTCATTCACCAATGGGGGTGGATCCTTCCCTTGCAACACCGATGCCCTATTCATCGTGTTCAACAACTCGTTCAATTTTGTAATAATACTGCTTTTTAGATACGCGTACCCACATTGGCAACAGCTGCTGGTTCCGAGACCGTATTGCTTTCTTACTCATGAAGACAGAGTATTATTAATTTTTTTCACAGATTCGTATGCTATTCTCAGCACCCACAGGGTTCATGGCACTTCCGCGGCCTGGTGTTTTTGTGGTAGTATCGTACAATGGTACACTGGAACAGGGGTTCCCCTTCCATATCCGAATCCACTCAAATTACTGTGTTGTCGTTGCTTTTTGAATTTTCGTCGCGTGCAAGATTTACATGTGCCCTGTTATTGGTGTGAGATGTTGCAAGGCATGGGTTATCCACCTCGTTTCTGAAAAACCTGTTGTTTTTTTGTTTCAGATACTCGTTTTGTCATACGAGCTATTTATATCCCTTCCCTTTTTCAGCCACTGCCCAGATAATAGAGAATCACACCAGATATTACCATGCTTATCTGATGAAGCAGTTGTATTTTGTGTGCAAACGCTGTTGGACGTATTCACGTCACGTGAACACCCTCCATGAACCCTGTTGGGGATGTCATATTTTAGAAAGCACAGGATGGGAATTTTGAACACCCGGTAGGGGGAGGTCTGCATGGTGGCGCCACCCCTGCTGGATGTTCATTTTTTTTAATTTCATTCATTAGATTCCCATTGGATCATTCAACGTGTGATGATTTTCAAAAGCTGGCCCATCCCTCACAAACTTTGTATTGTCAATCATCAAGGATGGTCCAGCTTACTTCATTTGTTCAAACTCAAACGTTGATTTTTTTTCATTAGTATGTCATTGGTTCCTGGATGCTCAAACTAAGATATTGATTTTTTATTAGCATGTCACTGGATCCTAGACCATTTTGATTATAATCAAGACTGGATTTTAATAGAATATTATTGTAAACAAACATTTCAAGGGCGTGACACCACCAGGGCGTCACACACGTCCCGTTTGTAATCGAGTTCTGTTTTTTTCAGTCAATCATTGGACCCTAAACCACCGCCTCGTACGTGCCAATGGTCGACTGTATCTCATCCAGTTTGCTTCTTGGATCTAACCACCACCCCCCTCCTTCTGATTCGTTTTCAGGCAATTTTTCCACGTTTAAATTCCATTTATTCAAACCATGGTCAGGATCAAGTTTCACCCATTATATCAATTGGCCTCATCCATTACTCATGACTTCTTCCGCCAGGAAGCAAACCCCCTATCTTCATCGTATATATTAATGTAAAAAAATGGGCGTGACGTCACTCGGGCGTCACACACGTCCCGCTTGTAACCAGGCTCTCCTCACGATGTGTTCATTAAAAAAGTGGATGTTGACCTCTATCGAGCGTGTTTTTCTTGACTTTGGGGATACGAGGGGTCTGGGACTACTTTTCGTGGTTTGCGCATGCGCAGTAGGTGTACGCGGAAATAGGCTCACAGGCATGCGGGGGGTCTGGGGAGACCATTGGCGGTCTGCGCATGTGCCTACGATCCCATTCACGTGACTGCGCAGGGCCAACGCCTGGGCCCCCACTGCGCATGCGTCCAACTACCAGGCTCTTCTCTCCATAAAACTATGTAAACAATGTAGATTCAATTCTTGTGTGCGTGTGTTCTTTATTCCATGGGGTCACGTGTCAAATCATGCCCATATATGGGCATTTGTGACGTCAATAAGTCACATGGGCCAAATGCGCGATTCTGATTGGTCGAGAGAAAATTTGCTGCGCTCTGATTGGCTAGGACCTCTTGTAGCCACTATGACTACTGCCCCTGTTGAACGAGTACCAAGCACAGCAGTTTCTGCAGAGGAAATGGATGTAGAAGATTCATTCGAAGAGTCCTCAAATCTATCACTGCCATTGGAAACAGTTTCAGCAGCAAGTGATCAAGCTTCGCCTTCATTCACTGTTGATCAGGATCATGCTGACGCCTCTGATAATGGTGTTATCAGACAACTGCAACAAAAGATTACTTTGCTGGAACTAAAACTAGCTGATTGTGAAGAAAGTTTGAGAGAAGTGAAAAGTGAGAATGAGATTCTGCTAAGCCATCAATTTTCCCTAGAGAAAATAAAGGATGATAACTCAGCCATCTTATTTTACACAGGGTTTCCATCGTATGAGGCACTGATAAGTTTTTTTAAATATATTGAGCCAAAATTAGAAAAGATGCAGTACTGGAAGGGAGAGCGTCTTGTGAAAGGGAGTCAGCCTTATCAAGAGGATGAAAATCGCAAAAAACCAGGACCCTCTAGGAAACTATCATTTCTAGATGAATTTCTGTTAGTACTGATGCGGCTGAAGGCTGGCTTATTTGTACAGGACCTCGCAGACAGATTTGGTGTAAGCATCAGCCTTGTGTCAAGGATTTGTATTACGTGGATTAATTTATTGTACTATGAACTGAAAGATATTTTCCCTTTCCCAACCCAAGAGTTGGTGCGCAAAAATATGCCAGAAGAATTTGCTGAATTTGCAACAACCAGAATAATTTTGGACTGCACTGAGCTTTTCATTCAGCGTCTATCTGCAATGCTTGCACAGTCAGAAACGTGGTCTGATTACAAGCACCACAACACTTGGAAGCTACTAGTGGGAGTGACACCAAATGGCCAAGTGTCTTTTCTTTCAGACCTTTGGGGTGGACGAGTGTCTGATAAACAAATAACTTGAGAAAGTGGAGTGCTGGATTTAATTGAAAGTGGGGACAATATCATGGTTGACCGTGGCTTTGACATAAAGGACATAGTGCCCGAGGGTGTCACAGTCAATATGCCACCCTTTTTAGCGGGACGCAATCAACTAACTGCAGCAGAGACAGAGGAAACAATGACCATTGCCTCTGTACGCATCCATGTGGAAAGAGCAATTGGTCGGATAAAGACTTACCACATTTTAGATGGTAATCTGCCCAATACGCTTAGCCCCTATGTGACACAGATAGCAACAGTATGTGGACTTCTTACAAACTTCCTTCCGCCTTTGCTAATGCCTGCTAATCCGAAACCATAGTTGTCGCTATTGGTGACTTAACTGCCATGTTTCTTGTTGTACGATTTATTGATTAGTGTATTTTTTTGGTTTTCACTATCGTTTACAGCTAAAAGACAGCTTGGGCAGATGATGTTTACTTTCCAATAAGCCATTTCTGAGTTCCTCTAGTCTGTTTCAAAATGTAAATCTACATGTATTGATGAAAAAAATTATTGTTTATCTTTGAGTGAAACTTTTTTATATTTTCACAGCAGTGTTTCACATTTGGCTTGTCTTGTGCAATTTTTTTAAACCCAGAAATGGCTTATTTAATGTGCATAAACTGTCTTCCTATTACTCGAATCAGGATTGCTGATAGTGGACCTTATTGTGGAATTTTAGTTGAATTTCATTGTAGTCCATTCATGGCTTAGTTTGAATCACTCTCTTGCTGTGTGCTAGTATTTCAAAATTGATTTTGTTTAGTAATACATTTTGAATCAAGTGTTAGACTGAAAAAAACAAAAAACAACAAACAAACAAACAACAAGTTCTTAGAATGGTGCCATTTCCACCAAAGTAAATATTACAATGTAATGTACTGCTACTTTAGGGTTCCATGTTTTCCTATAATAATTATCTTTCATAGGTGGGAGGGTAATTACCATGTAAACAAAATACCAAATCAAGGCTGTGTTGTAAGAAAAATTAAAGGGAACCTGATGCTCTAATCCTGTGAAATTCAGGCTGCCCAGCATAGCATTTCTATGGGAAAGAATGATTTCCTAGTCACCTAAGAGTACAAATGAGGCACCAGGTGCCACCGGGCACAGTTAGATCACAGCCATGAGTTGAAAAAATAAATATTAGTGTGCAAAGAAAGTAGTGTCCAAAAGCCCAGAAAAAATAAATATTAGCGTGCAAAGAAAGTAGTGTCTGATAGCCCGGAGCTAGTGGATTGTGCTATCAGGCTAGTGGATTCTGTTTTTAACTGGCCCGACGGGAAAGTGAAGTTTTTTGAGGAATTCACATTACAGAAGTACTGTCAAATCAATATGCTCATCAAAACCTTTTTGTGGCTAGTTGAAATGATGTTTTGGCCAGTAAATGTTAGCTTTAGCTTGCCGGAATGGCAAGCTGTAGAAAAAACTTCCTTTGCACCCTGAATATGAATAAACTTTCAGATCAATGTAAAGCTTATACTTGTCTTTCAAATCTTAATTTTAAACCAGTTCTGCTGCAGCTATAGTGGCCAAATGGTTGCCACCCACCATGGAGGTAGAGAAGCTTTCCCCTCTGCACTCGTTTGGTAAGAAGCTCAGGGAAAAGAGCCCTTCTGTAAAAGAAATCAATCTTAGGCAGGCAGTCACTGGACCAAGTGTTGTCTGAGTAAATGTTCTCTAAAAATAGTGGTTTATCTTCTCCAAAATAAACTGTGAGAATGATCCCTTGTAGATCTAAGTCAGAACAGTAGAGCTGTCCTTGAATTTGCAAATAATAGTCATGATTCCGTTTGAGTCTCACTGTTCCATCACCAAGTTTCTCCAGAAAAAAATTTTTGGTTTTGCATGCCTCTTCTACAGTCATTCCTGCTTTGCTGAAGGGAGATTTAATTTCCATTCCCCATTTTTCTTCTGTATCTTTGAAGGTGACAATTCTGTCAATGCTAGCTCCCAAGTATGGTTTCTCCTTAGACACCAATAATCCAACCTCTTCAACTTTAACACTGACACCATTTTTTCTCATTTCCTTAATATAAAAGTTCACTGCCTTTGGTTCACATTCAATGCCATATTGAAGAGCATCTGTTGTGAAGTTTGAATAGAGGATTGACTTTAATTTATTTGAAGGCTCCACTTTGGTCTTGGCAGCTTTTCCAAAATTTGAAGCTGTTAAGAGAGTTTTCCTTTTTTCAAACCAAAGACTGTTTTTGTTTTGTCCGCGTGTCAGTCTTTCTGTCTCCTGGATCTCTTCCAAGGTTATTGTTAAGTTAGAGATGTGTTCATCAACCATGTATTTGAAGTGCTTCGAAGCTATATCATAGTTATCATTAAAGGGTACGCCCTCTGGTTCCTCTTTCTCTTCAGGGTCAGGCTCTTCTAAGCACTTTGACTTAATGTCATGAAATAAAAAAAATGAACTAGCAGGGAGACTGTTTTGAAGACCTGTACAAAAGGTCTTAAAATGTTTTTCATCCCTCGTTCGCTGGTTTGGCGCTCTTGGATCAAATTTTATAATCTTCGGTTGGAGACGAATATTTTTCTTCCCAAATCGTATCTTTCTGATCAGAACCTGGTCAAGTGGCTTTGCTGCAACACTTTGGTTACGAGGCACCATTACAACTTCACGCCGATTTAAGTGTGTATTTCAGAAATGGGCATAACCGCTGGATTTTGTACCCTGAAGGCTCAATTTATTCCTCCGGACTTTCACTTCGAGAGTGCTCGTTTTGACTCGGTTCAAAGAAGGTGAGATTTTATGGCGGAAGACTCAGAAGCGAATTCAAAGGAATTGAACAATGGCTTAATTAAGCTGCCCAGGGCCGCAAAGTTTTAAAGGTATCCTTTTGTTCTAAGTGTGTCAATAAAACTGCAGAAAACTATCGCACCTATTGCGGAAGAAGTTTATGGATTTAAGTCTTTCGCAAAACTTCTTCGACTTGGAGACATATTTTTCAAACAGGAGAATTTTGAGAGCTTCAAAAAGAGATCTTGAACGAGAAATTTCGACCACTGTGGACCGAGATTGGATTTTTTTTTCTTGCCGAAGTTTCGAAGTACAAAGCAAGCCGCTGAAGCATTTTTTCTCGCCTATCGCTTAATAAAATCCGGCCGAGAGTTATCCATTCATTCAGTCTTAACAATTATTCATTTCTTCAGAGCAATGAAACTATACAAGCGTTTCTACAAAATTATTTCGAGGAATTATGAACTCCGCAAGTTTTGATCTGCCGATTACAGCTCTTGTTTTGATTTTAGATATTTCCCGTCTCACTCGACTACTCCACGAATCAAGTTGTCATGCAAATCGGTGAACTGACAATACGCGGTTATTTCGGGCCCTGCAGTCACGTAACTGAAACGCAAGGTTTTGTTCAACAAAAAAAAAACTGAAAGGCGAGCGAAAACGTCCAAAAAAGTGAAATTACACTCTAATAAAACTGTGTCATCCCGTTAAATGCATTCACCGCTTGCGTTGTTTACATTTTGAAAAGAGTTGTTCGCTCTTGATTGAAGAGCTACTGAATGAATAAAACGTTCTAATAAATAACTTCCGCAGCAATTCTTTAAACGCCAAATTATTTTCAAGGCAAGAGAGTATTTCATAAAAAAAATACTATTGGAGACCAGGTATTTATAAGCTTTAACCAGCTTCAAATTTATCAGGATTGTTTCCTTTGTAATACGGTGCGTGACCGAAAATATGTTATGCAACTAGAGTTGTCCGCCACGCTTAAAAGATTTGTAAGCGTTCCCACAGACTGCAGCAAATTTAACAGGCAAGTCCGAGTATTTTAATGGATAAATTTAATACTCATCAGGTAACAATGGGGATTAAAAAGTCAATCAAGCAACAAAATTCGAAACAAAAGAGACATATCGCACCTAAATCAAAGGAATTCCGCTCGTGGATTCTTCGGAAGGTAATCGACAATGGCAAGAACAATAGCCTGAATATATGAATACTTAATAACCCCAAAATTTGGGGTACACACTTAAATCGGCGTGAAGTTGTAATGACAACCCAAACAGACAGCCGCGATGTGCAGGTCAGAGGTTCGGCATGTTTTTGTAATCCTCTTCTCGTAAAATCTTCAGCCGCAAACAACACGCCTCCTACGTGGTTGCATTTACCTTTTCTATTTAAGCCAAGCCCGGCCGGACACGTGCACGCCGCTCGCAATATGTCACATTGAGGTGAGAACTCTACTATAACTCTATACGGATTCTTCTTCATAGATGGAAGAACACTAGCTTTCACATAGGTCTTGCCTTGGTAAACTTTACTCTCCAGTCGTTTTACGTTTCCCTCAAAGAAAAATTGGTAAGATTTCAACTTTTTATAATTAGTACCCTTAAGCACGATATGGCGGTACTTGCGTGTAGATACAACGAGGTAGTCGTACAGCTGGATAAAGTTAAGTTCTGGTAGCTGACGCAGGTCCGTAGACCATCCAAGAGCAGAAATCCGTCTAAGTGTGTCTTCGTATTCAAAGTGGCCACTATTATCCGCATTTTCTTCGACATTTTCGGCCGGCCTCACTACGTTCCGCACAAGCAAAGCGTAAACTTTTAGGACTAAGTCCGCCTTTGTTCCGCCCGCTCTTTCAGAATTACACTTTAAAATATCCCTTAGTTCTTTCACTTTCAGCTTCTGAATATCTTCCAGCGTCGTGATTTCCTTGTCTTTGTATTTTATGGCCATTTAGAGTGAAAAGAAATAACCAAAATATACGAACGTGTGAGCAAAACAGCTGTGATTTCACTCTGTTTATGTTTCGCGGGTCAACGCGAGCCTCGATGTGGTGTTTGCGCGGTTACTATTTCAAAATGGCGCCGGGAACTGTAAAAAAGGCTATTGCAACTGTCCTTAGCTCTTCAAGAGATGTCTGTCGAAAGTGTGGAAGAAAGTTGGTATTCGAGAACAAAGCAATTCCTGTTGTTATTTACAGTAATCACCGAGGTACGTATTTGCGTTCTCGACTAACAAAACTGTGCCGCAAATGCAAAATTTATGCACACCATAGATACTGGTCTGTTGATGGTAAACGACATTTTTACAGGGACTCTGTATTGTCGGAGTTTCTTCTTTCATCTGAGGACACTGCTTTCCAGATGGATGTTTTGGCTGAATGCAACAACCTGCTTGTCATCGGCACTGTTCCTTTCAGTACGTATGCAGCTAGTTACAATAGAGGTTTCCAGTATTGTAAAATGGCAACGACAAATGACATTGATCCTTAAGTCAAGAGAATGAAAAGGTATGTTGATAACTATTGCAAAGGTAAAGCAAGTTTAGGTACTCAAACAAATTGTATTTAAAACTATGAATATTTCGCAACAATTTACATCACACATACGATAACCATTTACGTGGAACCCATTGTTTACAAAAAATCATCTTACAAATGTATATCATAGCATATCATAGCCTAAATGACTATTCCGATCCTTTGATTTTCCCAGAACATGTTGTATGGAAGACATACAAAATGTACAAAAATAGAATTATAATTTCAAAAAATTGTTCTTACAAAAGAGAAACAAGAATCACTTCTGATCACAGATAACAAGCCATTTGATTTCAATTCCTTCACAGAGATTCACAATCCTGTTTACTGTATTACTGTGTGATAACTCGAATTCCCTCATGAAAGGGGCAAAGTCCAACACTTTCATGTGGAAACTGTGA